TTTTTTTTTTTTTTTTTAGACAGACGATCATTAAGTTGCCCAAGTTGGGCTTGAATCCTGCCCCTGCCTCCCTGAGTGCTGGGATCACAGACATGCACAACCATACTCTGCCTATTATTACTATTTTAAGTGAACATAGGTGAAGATGTAGAGAGATTTTTTTTTTCAGGTTGTTCATACTGGTTACCAAACGGCAGAAGAGAAAGATGAAAGAGAAGGAGGTAAACTAATGCTTTGCAAAATGGAAATAGTATTTTTAGTAAAAGCTAAAGTGGAAATGTAGAAATTAATGTTTTAAGTTAGATCCACAATGTTATAATGAATATGGAAAAATTATATAGGAGTGTAAAGAATTAATATATTGATTTAATCAAGTGTTGGTGGTTGTTATCTGAGGTTCTGTGGTTATTTCAGTGGTGTTATTTCTAGCAACTATTTTGCAAAAGGGCCTACTATAGCTCCTGGCACATGGCTGTTCAATAAACGTCAGCCATTGCTATGATAATGTTATTCTGAGAGCTCCTTCTCCAGCAGCTTCCTGTCCTAGGCTGCTTCCAGTACTTCACGGCAGCCTTTCTCCTGAGTTCCTCGTACCCCACCTGCTGAATGTTCCTGTTGGCAGAGTCGTTTTGGGACTACGACACTGAGCAGTCAGGAACTGTGACAGTATTGAGATGGGAGCTTATGTTGACGCTTCCCCGTAGGTTCGATGTAATCACAAAGATTCTGATGAGAGGGAGGCGTGTGTGTTTGTGGGTAGAGGGGGCTCAAACCTAGGTGAAAGCAAGGTGATGTTGGAAGCAGACATCGGAGCAACACAATCACAAGCCAAGGAATGTGGGTAGCTTCTGGATCTTAGAAAAGGAAAGGAAAGGACTTCCATGGTGTCTCCAGGAGGAACCCTAATACTAACTTGAGCCCCATAAAACTCATTGTAGACTTCTGACCGCCAGAACTATAGGGGATAAATTTGTGGTGTGTTAAGCCACAAATTATGATAACCTGCTACATCACCAAGAGGAAACTAAACAGGGACCTGGGCTAAACATATCTTAATGTCCTAGTTTGCTGCCTAATACTGTTTTGCATGACTGGAACAGAACATCACATTGTTTTTGCTCCTTGAATTACTGTATGAACAAATCTTAATCTCTACTGAGGCACGCGCCTGCTTTGGGCATGCAGAGGCCAAGACTTATGCTCAGAAGGGCAACTGTTTATCTGTCTGTATATGGACAAACGACAAAAATAAGAAGACTAGGAGGAAATACACTGATATATTAATGAGGAAATATTAACTTATTTCCTACCTTGATCTTCTGTGGATTTCTCCAGACACTTCCTTGATACGAAAAAAACAATTTTAAGTGAGATAGCCTAAGTATTTATGAGGTTTGATAAAAAAAAATATGGTGGAAAAACTTTTAGAGAAAAATTTATTACAATAAAAGACACAGCTATTTACTCTCTTTGAACACACTTGTCCAATCATTCCTGCCACTTTCTAAGCAGTTCTTGACATCTCTTTCACGAGTGCCTTTAGTTGCAATGTCTTGACTGCTTTGATGTTCTCAACTGAATTGAAAACATCCCTTCTCATGGTCATGCTGACTGTGGAGAAGAGCCAGAAAGAAGTTTCATGGTGCTAGATTCAGTGAATGAGGTGGATGAGGACACACATGATTTGTGAGCCTGCCATTCTGTGGGATGTTAGTTAGCAACAGCATTCACCATAGTTTTGATCTTATCTTGTAAAAATTCTCCGGGAAGAAGACTTTCAGACTGCTTCAGAGAGTGGCGAAAATGAGAGGATAAGTGTGTTCAAAATGAGAAGTATTTTGAGGGGAGTTAATGTCAATGTGTCTTTACCTATAATAATTTTAAAAATCGAAATATTAACGATATTTTTATCACACTGTGTACACCACTGTCTGGCACTCCAGAAGTCAGTATAAGGTTAAATTGTCCTGAGCTGGAGGTGTCGGGAAAAGTTCTAGTAGGGAGCAGGAATCTGAGCAAGGCCAGGAAAGATTGGCATGTGATGGGAACAGGAGCAAGCAGAAGGTGTGCCTGGCAAGGGGCCGGCGAGAGCTGAGAAAAAGACTGTATTTTCCTAAGTTATTAAATAAGCCCATTTGACTTTAAAGGAACATTTTCAGAGAATGTAATAATTGTACAGAGAAAATAATAATTTATCATTTACTTTGTGCTGAATACATACCAAAATATTACCATATTATATCTGTTAATCTTCCCAATAGTTTCATGAGAAAAGCTCTAAAATTATCCTAAATAAAGAGAATGTAATAGAAAAACACAGATCGTGTGTGACTTGTCAACAAGTAGTACAGATTTGAATTCCAAAAATCACTCTAGAGTTTATACTTGAAATACCAGGGAGTTTCATGTCCTATAGTTATATAACACATTACCAGAGACTTAGCCTCTTAAAACAATATCCTCTTATGATACCATTTTTCCTATGGGTCAGAAATCCAGGTGGGCCCACCTGGTTTCTTTTGAGGGTCTCTCAGCCTACATTTAAGATGTTGTCCAGATCAGGATCTTGTGTGGAGACTCTGGGCACAAATCAGGTCACTCAGGTAATTGGCTCCTTGTGATTGTAGGACTGAAGTTCCTGTTTCTTTGCTGGCTGTTGAATCCTCTTTATATTTCTAATGTTGTACTTCCTCTTCTGAGCCTAGCTAGAGAAAACTCTCTCTACCTGGGCTGGGGATTTAGCTCAGTGGTTCCACTGCCTGCCTTGCAAGCACAAGGACCCGAGGTCGATCCCTGGATTAAATTTAGCCTGGATAATCTTCCTTTTGATATATGACATAGTGATGGGGTTACAGCCACTCAAAGGGAAGCAAATCACACAATGATGAGGGTCACTGGCTCAGGCTTGAACTCTACCTACTGCTACCAGGCTGACTTCAGCTTTCATCCTGGCAAAGGAGAATGGCTGGTGGTTTGACAAAGGGATATGTGTTCCTGCACGGTGGGTTCTGGAGAGATTACTGGCCATTCCTACATAGTGGGGACTGAGGTGAGAAGAGAGTGCAGACAGAGACCCAGAGACATGGAGGGATGTTTGCAGCTGGAGGGGTGGGCTCCTGCAGAGAGGAAGCCAGACTGGAAAGAAATTAAGAAGAGAGACTCACCACAGCCTAGTGATTCATTCTGCAGGACTCTTGACCTTCTGGAATATTTTCCATCTAGTATTTCATTTGCTCATCATTACACACCTGTGAAGCAGAGACATTATGCTTTGCATTTGACAAATGAGGAAACTGGCAAGTCCCCGAACATCTGTGCTTCAAAGATCAAACTCTGGATCCATAGCCCAGGTCACCAGATGTGCCTGCTCTTCCTGGAGCTTAGGAAAAGGGCGTCATATGGGATAGATTTATGGCCTTATTGTCAGGTGCCAGCTTGTTTCTGCCATCTATCCCTGTCTGGGGCCTTAAGCAGTCAGTTTCTTCCCTAGTGAAACTTGGAGGGGGATAAGATTGACAGGTGTGCGTCAGAAGATGGGAGAAGTTCCCTTCACACTTCTGGACCCTGGGCACCCTTAGGCAAGCTGTTGAAAAGGAGGGTTGGACAAGAGGACCAAAATGTTTTCCTCCTCCTTGTGGGGTAGGTCTAAGGAGAGTGAGAGGAGTTGTTAAATGAGTTATCATTTCAAAAAAGAAACAGAAAGGGCAAGACAGGGTTCACGGAGCCTTATATCATGAAAGGAGTATGGAGTAGTTCTCTGTCACATGTAGTTTATAGATGAGTTAGGTCCATCCAAGAAAAAAAATGAGGCACTGAGAGATGCAAGAAGGAAAAACAGCCACTCCCACTCACAAAGCCAAAATTCTCAGGTTTTGTACGTGGACATAAGTGTCCTATAACCTGTGCATACTGTCCTAGAATCTGCTTTTGTGGCTGATCAAAACTGATAACAGCTTTTGGAGGAGAACCTTGGGACCAGTGGGAGGAAATGAGTTGAATTTACAAGGCTCACTTCAATTGGTCAGTTCCAGGGAGATCGCAGGCTTTAGAATGGATCCACCTGAGTTAGTGAAGCCAGTGTCTGCCTCTCCCAGCAGATCCCCGCAGAGCCATTCCTGGTGACCCATGGACTGGCCCCAGGCAAGCCCAGGAGTGGCTGCCCCTGTGCAGGGAAGCAGCCCAGACACTGAGCTGCCCATTCTTCAGAATCAGAGTACTCAAAAAAAAAAAAAAATACATTAAGAAATCTAGCCCTGTAATTTTAGCCCTCAAACACTTGCATTTTTTCCAGTCTGCCTGAATGGGAGAAAAAGCAGAAAAGAGAATTTCAAGTGGCATGTATTGATTGGCTTAGCTCACCCTAAGAAGGCATTCTTACCAGCTCTTCCAAATATAATTTATTCAATAGTGAGAAAGTAGTTCAATTTGAGAGTGACAACCCTTAGGAGCTGCTTTTTCACCACATAAATTATATCAATATCATTTGTCATTTGTCATTCTCTGGAAATCACTGAGAAAAGCACAGTTCTTGGCACCCAGGAGGCAAGCAGCAAAAGTTACTGAATTAATGAGACTTTAACTGGCAGGTAAATTTAAAGTCCAGAGGCCTGGGAAATTCCATATGATAGGAAATGAGTTGAGTTTACAAGGCTTATCCCATTTGGTCAGATCGAGGAAGAGCACAAGGTTTAGAATGAGTCTGACCTGGGTTCCAATCCTGCCCTTTTTAGCTCTGTGAGTACATCACACCTCTGAGCCTTTGTTTCCTTGTCATTAGAGGGCTGCACGTTTGTTGGGCATGCTGTGAGAATTTGAACAGATGCTCCCCTTTGAGTGTGTCTGCAGGACCTGAACAAAGCAAAGGCATCCACAGTATACTTTAGAGTGAAGCTAATAGATCCTGTTTTGCTGGAGACTGGGCCTTGACTTTCCATAAGAGGGGTAGCCATGTCTTGATCCCACTAAAATACTTGTTGAATAAAAAAAAGGTGAAGGGGCAGGGGTGCTCTCCAGGACCTCTTTGATAAGGGTGCTAATTACATTTACGAAGACTCTACCTGTAGAATTGAATCCCTCAAGTTCCCATCTCCTAGTACCAACAATATCAGGGGTTAGGAGGTCAGTGTATGAATTTGGAGGGACATTAAGTCCACTGCAGTCCCTGATAAATTTGATGAGCTTATCTTTAGGGTCCCAGATACATTATTTTTCTGGCCTTTATTCTCTTACAGTATTCTCAGGAAGAGAATAATTAAGTCTCAAAGCAGACATGGTAGATGAGGGTGGAGAAGAAGAGACAGGATCATTTAGGGTAGGGAAAGAGCCAGCTGTCTGCCTATCAGTTCTTTTGGAGTTGCGACATTTACAGAAACTAGCTTTACAGATGGGGTTCATTACAACCCACAAAAATTTAATGCCATGAGAGGGAAGACAGCCAGAGAGCTTGTATTTTTCTTACTTCATTCTCACAACTAGATAGGCAATTTGTTGCTTCTTGGGAGCTGTGGCACCTCCCAATAGAGTTAACCAGGCTGAACGTGCCACAGCTCAATAGGGTAACTAAGTGAACATCCAACCAGGGTCCTCCCATTCCACCACCACTCCAGGACCAAGGCAGACTGAGAGATGAGCTCTACTTCCCAAAGACCTGTAAACTAGCAAAAGGACACACAGAGTTCACACGTCTTTGTGCAGGCTGTTGGAGCTTATAAGCATGGATGTTTGGAGATGAGAATTCTACTTTGGCTATGTAATCTGGGGAAAGTTCCTCTTCTCTCTGTGCCTTAATTTCCTCAAACATATGGGAAGAAGATGGATCAATCTTATAAATACCCTTAACCAACTACTAACCTGTGTCTTAAACAGAGACAGGTTGATTTAACTATTACAGTCCAGGGCTGATGGGGAAGCTCACTGATATCATAAGACCTAAGCCCTATCTTTCTGCTTTGCTACCCTTAAAGTATTGGCCTGTGGTGTCACAGTCACATGATGGTCACTGTACTGCCAGATGTCATTTCTCTGTTCTAAGTAGGTGAATGTAAAGGGTAAATGAAGAAGAAAAGTTTATACTAGTGGGGTCTGGCTCAACCAAAGAGGGAAGAAGGGCTTTCCTGGAAGCTTATGTGTCCTTAGCCAGAACTGTGCCCATGACCACTGGACTGGAAGATGGATGGGAGTTAGGCCAGTCCAGTGTGGGCTGCAAGGCCCATGGGAGCTCTGGCCAGTCATCTGGTCTCATAGTGGCCCACAAAGGTGATTCTCTGGGGAGATTCCTACAAAACCCTATGGGACTGTTCAACTTCATTAAAATGCAAACATTGTTTGCTTGACCTCCAGTGAATCTTCAGAGCCCAGTTCAGGGCTTGGTGCATCATAGGTGCATAACAAGCATTGCTGAGTGAATAAATCTTCCATCCATACATTTGCACCTCACTGGACTGGGGTACTCAAGGAGATGAGGGGTTTGAATAACTGGATTTTTTTGGTGGCCCGAGAGTGAGTGTAAATCACAACACTGAGTGGCTTCTATATCCAAGGCTCCAAGGTGGAAGAAAATGGTACATTTATGTGTCATGGTTAGGGCATGCGGAAAACAGATGACATATCAGGGTAACTGAGGTGCGTTTAAATAGAGGACTATTTAAAAAGGTACGGCAGGGTCAGGTGAAGCCAGCAAGAGGTGGGGAGTCCTTGGGCTACTAATACTGGGCAGTTGTTTCTACCTCTGGACTGAAAAGGCAAAGGAGAACATGAAAAAGAAAAAGAGGGGCAGCCACATCTGGGTCTGGAGCAGCAGCTGGGTCAGGATCTGGGTCAGGAGCTGTGGTCTTCCATGGTGAACACAGTTACTGGTCACTGCACACTGCCATGGGAGGGAACGGAACCCAGAGCCAACGGGGGCAATGAACTGCCCATCACTCTCCTTCCATCCTGAGCATTTGTTAGTGTGTCTCATTTGCTGCATCCGGCAGGAAGCAGGAACACAGCAGGAAGCAGGAAAAGGGCAGGGAGGAGAGGACCTCATGCAGTTACTGAGGTTAGACTCCAGCACAAAACAGGGGAGAGGGGGAGAGTGCTGTGGTGTCCTTATAGTAAGAAATATATATTTGTCTTTGTCCCCACTCTTGGCACAGAACCCCTCCTTAAAACTCTTGGAATTTCCTAAGTGACAAGAGTGATCCAAGTGAGTGATAATAAGCCCCACTCACCAGGTCTGAATTTATGCTAATAAGATGATGTTTGGACAGGCCCTTAAGGACAGGAGATTGGTTGCCAGGGAAACCAACACATGATTAGAGGTTCAAATTTCAGCCTCACTCCCTGACCTCCTGGAGGGCGAAGGGGCTGGATTTTAACTGGATTGCCAAAGCCCTATGATTTCATCAGTCATGACTATATAATGAAGCATCCAAACATACAAGATGCATCCAGGAGGTGAACCTGGAAGGTGCTGGGAGGTGATACACCACCCCAAGAGGCCAAGGAAGCTCCACCCCTTCTCTATACCTGGCCCAATGCACTTGTTGGGGCTCGGAGAATGATACCCTCCCAATAAGATAGTTTTGGCATGCTGAGCAATTTTATCCAAAAGAAATTAAAAGTCCTCAAACTAAGCCCTTGAACCTTCCCTTGTTTCTGTCCATCCCAGGTAAGGGGAAGATTTTTTGCAATGTCTCCTTACCTGGATCTCCTTAACTAGATCCACCAAGTGAGTAAGAAGGCCTGGCCTTCAGTCTGTGGCCCTATTGGTAGAGAGCAGAGGCCTTAAGATCTGGGGCCTAGGGAGAGTCTTCTTGTTGAAATTTAATTAACCAGAGATGATTAAACTCACATAGAAGGAAAGGCGGGAGTCTATGAAAACATCTGAACACACCTGTCACATACCCTGTCCTCTGAGTCCCATAGAAAATGATCTATAAACCACCGTCTAAGCTGCAGGTCAAACAGACTTTGTCCCTACCTACTTTATTTTCTCTAAACATATTTGGTTCCCCTAAAAATCATTTACTACTTATTTCTCTGACATTCTCCATTCTCTCCTGCCCCAATAGAGAAAAGGGTATGTGCTTGGCTGGTAGGCTAATCATGCTATGTGATTGCCTCCAAGCAAGTAATTAATTTGTGTGTCTTTTCTCCAACTGATCTGTTTTTGTCATTTTAGTTCAGTGTACCTTCAAAAGGCAGAGGGGAAATTTCCCTTCTCCCTTACACACCTCTTATTTGACTACCACAGCCTTGCATTACT